TATATATATAGTATATATATATATAGTATATATATATATATATATATATATATATATATATATATATATATATATATATATATATATATATATATATATATATATATATATATATATATATATATATATATATATATATATATATATATATATATATATATATATATATATAAAATGTTTCTCAAAGTCTTCTCTGAAAGAATCAGAGATTTAAAGAGACATTCTATCGTAAAATAAATAAAATCTAAGCAGTATCCGGTGAATTATTGGAATTGATATCTTGCTTGAATTTTATATTCAGTCATATTTTGATTTAAAACTAATTTGAAAATCTCAAAGGTTTAACAAATATCGTCCTATAAAAAGTTCCAGAATGGTACAATATTCAACAATCCAGAAATCCGATCTTTGGATATGCCAGCGGTGACTGGTATGGGCACTGCTCGATCACTCGCAAAACTTCATGCATTGGTTCTCGAAGGAAAACTGTTGAAAAAGACAACTGTAGAGCAATTGTTTCGCGATCCTGTAGTTTTGAACCAAACGGACTCTGTCTTATCGATTAATTTATCATTAGGAAAAGGATTCGCCTATACAAAGAACTGTCAAGTATTAAAGTTAATGTTACTTTGAAAAGTACTGAAACAACATCACTAAGCTTTCTATGCTTATAATAATTTATCGATTAATTTTTTCCATTTCCGAACATTTGATGTCACCCGAAGATTGTTCAAAGTTCGATTTGATATTAATCATTAAATAATGGCCTTATGGATTATGTGATCTATTTTCATATGGAAAATCTTCGTTTTCAGGGTCAGTGGTTAATTGGTCATTCAGGATTAGGTGGTCAGAATGTTAAAATGGATTTAACAAATGAAGTGGCATTTGCATACCTCTGCAATGGTTTAAAGGTCGGCTATTCTGATTTAACGGTTACATTTATGCGACTACAAAGTGCACTTTATGAATGTCTCCGTGAAAATAATTTGTTGAAGGAAATTCCAGAAGAAAAAGCTAAAGAAAGCCATGAAACTGTGGCAGGTTGGTCATTTCTCACAATCATTTAGGATTATTTTAAATTCTGTGTATAAACTTGAGTAATTTGTTCAACATAAGACACTGTGACAATGTTACACTTCCGCTTTGCGATTTCGTCAACTCGTAGTATTTCTGGCATCTCACATGGACTAAGAAAGCGTTGTCAATTTCAGTTAATTAACTTATTCCAACCAACAGAAGTTGATTTATTTGAGCTTAAAACTATAATTTGGAACGAACTCGTTTTTAATTTAAAGTTCTTCTTTCTACATTTATATTACAGGAAGAAACAGCTCACTGGACATTTCTTCCAAAAATCTCCAAGAAACCGTTCCAACTTCGCTTGAAAATAACACAGATCTGACTTCTGATATATGAGTGTTGAATAAACCTAAAACTTTTCTGATATACTTTGGAGCTTTTCACTTCTTTAACTTGCTTTTATTTTGAAAAAATTTTAAATCAATTTGCGGATTTTATAAATTTTGGTCCGTACTTACGCATATTACTTATACGTGCAATTTATGTGACTACGTGTTAGACATACGATTGCAAAATTTGAAACTCGCTGATTTCATGATTTGATATTTACTTATCATTGGAATCTAATTTCATCACATGACCTGGTTCAGATGAAAATTATATGTCGATCGAATACAACGATCTAATTTCTTTGTGCAGTGATTCAGCTTTCTGGCCGCATCCATTGTAACTGCGCTGTTTTGTTGGGAAATTTTGGGAGAATTAGACGTAAAGAAGTCAATCATTATTTATGCGGGAATTGTTTGAATCATTATTTATATGGGAATTGTTCTAAGAGAATTGTTTGGAATCTTAACCCATATTTGAACATAGTTTAAACGAAAATTGCAGGTGTACAATGTGTCAATGGAAAAGTGTCAACAGTTATGGCCAGCGATTTTGTCTATTCGAATTCAATGATAAGAGACATACGTGCACACATACGCATAATTACGCATAATTTGCTTACGCATAATTTGTTGACCACTGTTTCTCGATAGTCTAAGAATTCATTCAGATGTGGGAGAGGTCTATAGGAACCCTTGGATTTCTTTACCAAATCACAGTTAAATTTTCACAAAATCTCACCATATTCATCAACATAATACTTTTATTTCAATAAATTTGCAATTATAAGGAAATATATAATTTCAATTATTCCAGCTGAGAATTTGAGTGATCGCAGTAGTGGCAGCAGTCTCAATCCAGTCAGTATGGAGTAACTGTCCAGCGGTCAGTCGCATATCTAAACGTTCGGACATCAGGAGTTGCGTGGTATGCCACATTTTTGGATCTATTGGTATTATGATTGATGATTTTATTCCGTGATAATCGATCTGCAATAGTATCACTGTCTTATATCCACCATCAGTGCTACGTATACTTAGGCAAATCATCGAAATCTTCGCAAGGATAAAATTTGATTTAATCCAGAAATAGAAACGGATAAGATACAGCTCACCGTTCCATTCGGTTTTCTTTTCGGCATGCGACCAATAAGGCATCGATATAATACAACACCCATCGCAAACATATCTTGCGGCAATGGTTCGGCCCTTTTACGCAATATGATTTGGTAAGTATTGCTTCTACAGACCTTTATTTTACAAGGATAACAATAAATGATTAAACCTACTCAAGGTGAATGGATTCTGGTGCAGCATACATGGGTATTTGCCTATTTTTGTTCATATTTTCAGTAACTTCTTGTGCTCTTGTGAGACCGGTCAAGCGACCCGTCATGTGTTGATCAATCAAGATATTAGCCGTACAAATTGTTCCGTGGTAAATGCACTGTCTACAAATACTTGTACTACTTACCTGATATATGTCATTGTTAATTTTTGTTAATTATTAATTTTTTGTTTGTTAATTGTTGATTCTTGTTAATTTCTTTTGTTGATTATTAATTTTTGAAAACTCAGTGGAATGAATTTCAAAAACGAAGACAGCAACAATAGTCTGAACACTAGAAGTGTCAAAATTGTTAGGTCAAGTGATTTTAAATGATAATATAGTCAACACGCTAACAGTTGGACCTTTTGTCTAAATTCATCCGGTGACAACATGTTGATAGATCTTGAGCCTAATTTACCGCAATTATGACACTTCTGTTGATTTTGGAACTATTTCCGGAATGTATTTCTTATTTTCGTTCCACACTACCTATCTCTTACCGATGACATATATCAATCCAGACTGCGCTTTATGGAAGACTTACAAAGATTACAACAACATATTATGGTGGGAAGGAAAACCAGTCATTTTTTTCCTTAACACAGTATCATAATAAATTACGAGTGTAAGAAGCAGATTGCTTTGGTAACTCCACGTAGAATTTTGGCGATATATTGTTTATGTATGGGTACTGCGCCATTGTCTGCAAGTAGCTTCTCCAACGAGCCGTACTCACAGAATTCAAGTGTGAAGAAATAGGTACTGGACTGAAATTAGATCCTTAAATCGTTCATCTAGCGGCATGGCTCTATTCATCAGCAAATCCATGGTACCAATAAAGTTTCCATATGTGAAAATCTCCTTATGTGATAGATGATGTAAATATCTCTCACCATATGATGATAGTAATGGTCAACAAGGAGTGGCAAGCATACATCCTCTAATGTATTGCTTTCTTTTAACTTTTTCGCCTGTAATGATATTTGTTTGATAGAAATGTCAAGCTTGTCCTTGACTTCAGTTTAGCCTCTATGAAATCATATATGTCCATCTTAACCATAAAGTTTCTGGAAATTTGGGGTCCAAAAAAATATACCTGCAGAAGCAATGATGCTTCTAAACCTCCTCCAGGCGAAACTTTAACAATGTAACGTCGGCCTGATTTTGAATATACTGGGTATACACTATAAGCGATAAGCTGAGAAGATGAACTCAAGTCGTTGAAAATCAATTGGTCAAAATATAGAAGACAAATATTTTGATGCCAATCAAGTGCAAATTATTCGGAAATTGCGCAAAATAGTGAACTATAATCCCATAACAAAAGACATCTAGAGATAAAATAGAAATTATCCCTGGGGATTCATATACTTTTTTCATCCTTGTCAATTATTCGTAGATTGCCTTCACTTATTTACTATTAGTAAAAAAACTATTTACAAAGTTTATTATGAATTATTACCATCCTTTAACAAGTTCATCTATATCAGATCTTGTCGCATCTGTGTTTTGTGATTTTGGATTTACCAGCAGTTCTTCTTGACAGTAAGAACCTATTTATTTAATGATACAAATAACTTATATACTATTTACATCTCAAAGTAATTATTCATGACCTTACATTAAATCGAATTTGTGTTTAAGTTGAGAATATTAAAGTGGGGGTGTGGCAACAAACCATTCTGTACACATTTGCGATCTTCAATGCCCTCCGCCTGAGATTTCCTGAAGGACAAATTCTGTGCCTTCAACCGCTGACAGAAATCATATGTTGCATCAATTATTTGCAGATCTGTGGTCGCTACAAGAAAATCTGTTCATAGTAAAAACGATTTATTCTCTCAGTTCAATTAAGTCATCAAAAGTTGGATTCCATTTAGCCAAGGAAAGTAATTGCTAACTGTTTGAAAGAAATGAAACCGAAATTAAACTTCGACAAAGTAAACAATTCCTCGGTCTTGCCATTTCCTTAATAACATTAAATCTTCCACATCAAGTGTTTTGAGAACATAAACGTAGTTTGTGAAAGTATGAGATATCAGTGCGTGTTTAAACCTAATCATTTATCGAGAGCATAATTTGTGTCAGATTCTGTTTGAGGTAAAATTAAGAAATGGTTTGTGAATTAAGAACTGATGAGAAGCGGAATCAGATAATTGCTGAATTAAGTGCAATATTTCAAAAATTACCAAAATCACTGCAAACAACAACTGTTCTACTTTATGATTTAAAAAACAACTTCGTTGCATAGAGCAAATGATAAAATCGATTTTCTCCGAAGTTTGTGCAACCTGATTTAACATTATCGTCGGTTAGCTGTACTTCATCATGAGATTGTTCATTTAGGGTTGTCTTTGCCATTGCTGAATTTTTGACGTAAATGTAACCGAACACGACAATATCGTATATAGGAAATGATAAAACAATGTATTATCATGCGTTTTTATGCAGCTCTATTTGCAAGGAAATTGTAATATTGTGACCTAAAAGTTATCATCAAGCAAATAACAAAATGTGGAGATGAATGAAACAGAAATATGAAATGAGTCAATAATCAGATTTTGAGCAACAATTGCACTGTCCCTCTCAACACCATAAAAAAAAGTTATATGAAGAAAGAACTGAATAATAAATCGATAATAATTCAAAATAGTTTTGGAAAGGGGAACAGAGGAAATCCTCTATGATCAGAACGAGATCATTCAGGGTATCATCTCAATAATTATCTTAGAAACTATTTCTCAGTGGAAGTAAAAATAAAAAGAGATCAATAATTGATGAACAGCTTTCCATTCTCACTCACTACTCGGTTACTCTATCTACCAAATAATACTGAAGCAGCTACTCGATATCTACAGGAAAAAGAAAAAAAAACATGTTAATATTTTAAAAAATTCTAGGAAATTCAAAATGTTCCTTGAAACTTCAAATAGATATCTTCCTAATGGTACAGCGTTTGTTGTCCAGGTAATATTTCGACTTAAATTTGCTTTCCTTTTCACTAGACTTTCCTTTCCACTAGACTGGTTGAACAAAACTTTTAACATGCATATGTGACCACAAACAACTTATTCAAACCTTTATATAAAACCACAAATAAGAAGATTTACAGATGAAGGATGGCGAAACCTAATAAGTGTCTTGTTACAATAATATGACGGTATTACGAATCCAACATTAATGTTACAAATTTTATCGAAGGAAGTCATTTGAGAAGGGAACAAAGATGACTTAGAGGATAAGGATAAGAGTTAGTTAAAAAGTTATTTTACACATTTCTGCACCATTTGCACACCAAACGATGATCGAACAATTCTATATATAAAACTGAGTTCTCATTTCACCCATGTCTATCATCCATTATCTTTTCTATTGATTGCGTGAGCGGATCGTAGTGGAATAAAAATGATTTTTTAATCGTTGAAATGTAAGACCTATAAATAAGTTCGATGAACTCAATAATGTTACTTCCTAAAGGTATAGAAAAGTGTAGCTATTTCGTAAAAGATTCTACGAGTTATTTAAAACCTGTTAGAATACTGCAATCAATAATTAAAAACATTTTTAGCGGTTTTTATCTGGTCACTGATTCTTAAAACATTAGTTCAAACTAGAAAGAACGGCAGAATTACATCAAAAATTTGAAACTTTGAATGTTCATCAATTTTTGTACTGTGCAACAATCACTTATTTAAACATGAGTTATTCTTAAAGCTTATGACGGTATGTATGGGATTTTCATTTATTTTACAGATTCTATAAATTAAATTTCAAATCTCCTCTTTTAATAATAGATTTTAATAAATACCTTATTTTCTGAAATGCTTCATTAATGGTCCCTGAATAAAAATAGCCTTTTTGGAATTTGGTAATTTCAGGCTCCATTTCAATCACATCATTTGGTTCGAATCGATAAATTTTAGCATCGGGTGACATACAAAACTGGAAAAATAATAATTTTTTTTCTAACTATAGATACATATCTGTGTGCATAAACAATATACATCCAACGATTATACCTTCAGCTCATCAAAACAGGATAGCAATCCGGCGCCATAAACCTTCAAATTTCGTTTCTTTTCGTCGAATTTTTCACCTTCAGCTGACAGACCAAACTCAAATGCGAAGAAATAAAGCTGAAAGAGATTTTTCTAACTAATTCATACAACTTCTGGAAGGCATGAAAATCTTTAAATTACAAGGTATAATGGGACGAACCCGTATCAGAGCGCTACACTCTTTTTCAGAGGAGCCAAGACTTGCAATTCCAATTTCTTGGCTGAGTTGCGCGTATATCGGATCCAAAAACATGGCCATATGTCCGAGCAGTTCATGGCATAGATCTCTAAACAGCCACTAAAGACTGTCATTTTCAAAGAAAGCTTTACATTATCACCAGATATGTTTGTCCGATTTCTCGCATTTTTTCAATCTTTAGGCATAACATTTAAGCAGAACTTACGGTTCAGGCGTATAATGTGGATCAGTATGGTGGCGCATATACTGCGTACAACAAAACACACGAAATGCCAATGCAGCTAGAAAATTTCGAGAAGTCAGATATCCACCGCACGGACGAAGGGTGAAGCCAGTTTTAGCTGAAAATAAAAGAAATAATAATGGGAAAGGTAAGGAAGTACCTAGTCCGGCAATGTTTAATAGAAATTCCTTGTTTTAGATGTAATAACTTATTGATTAATAAAGTAGGACGGTGATGATCGGAACTTTCCAGTCTATATTGCTCAAGTATTTCGCAAATGTTAATTATTACACTATCGGACCCTTTAATAGAGTATCAAAGAACTGCACTGATATACTAGTTCAGTATGAGCACATTTTCCCACTCATTCATTATGTACAACCTTAGTGTTTGCATCAATGTCAGATGTTCCTTTACAAAAACAGAGGAACATTAGGATGCAATCTTGGATTAAGAGTCAAAAGTGCAATTGTCAGCACAGATTGAGAGAAGCGTTTCGCTTTTTTCCATCGTTGATAAACGATGGATTCCGTTTCCGATATTTAATTTCATTCCAGTGAATCTGAAATAACTGTCACAATTCTCGCTTTTCAACTATAAAAATGTGATACAAAAGTTATATTAAGAAACTTGCAAAATAAGAAAATCGTTAAAAACACACTGTTGAGGTATTTCGAAATATCTTCCAGCTGTGGAATTTCATTGTCTGAATAGCCGCACTGTTCCTCGAGCAATTTAAAATTGTCCAAAAATGCTTTGCATGCAAATTTGTTATGCAATGTTTTCAGGTCACGATAAATTGTACGCCTGAGAGATTCTAATGAATTGTCAATTTTCATTTGCTATTTACACCATTTAATGACTAATCAACTGAAAATTTCCAGCAGTTAAGTGGCATTTGAAATAACCGAATGGTAAATTAAAACAAATTTAAATTTTGACATTATAATGTTTGCCACAGCTCCAGTTCATTTACCTCTTTCTAGAAAAGTGCTTTTAAGTACTGGTTATAACACATACCATGTTTCTGTTTCGACTGTTGTGTAGTTTATTCGCGGTATTGGTATCCCACTATTAAAATAGATTGTATTAAATCAGTATTTGGACTCGTTAATCTATCAATTTGTGAAAACCTACTCTAGTGGAAAGTGCTGAAAACGGTACATTTTAATGCAAAACAATTCCGTCTTTTGATCACTTTTTGACAAGAAACGGAGTTAGGCTGGTACAATAGCTTCAAATATTTCATTTAGCGAAAATGTCTTCCTTCTTTATCAGTATTATTAGAAAAACTTGAATTTTCTATAGTTGGAAAGATGAACAAAATGAGAAAAAAAGATTGCTTGCCGTGTACCATTGGAATTTGTACACATGTATCAGTGACATAAACCCGATTCGATTATTGTGTGAAAATAAATTCAAAGAATAATTTTAGCTCATAATTTATACTAAAACTTGCTAGTAATATTCATCGATATAACTTACTGTTTATAATCATTTGCAATTTCCAAAAACCATTCTCGCCTTTTCCGATATTCCTTGTCTTTAAAGCTCTGCAATGTTAATCATTGCAGTATTATCAGATGAAAGACAATGTTTAGAAGTAGGGCATTAGATCTTAATCACTTCAGTAGGATCACTTTCCCATTTAAGTAATAAAACGAGCACAATATGAATTAGTTCTAACCAATTAAATCATATATGCTTAATAGTTAAACTGACAGGGTGACTCGTGCTCAGTCCCGAGGAACTGGTTGGATCGTACATAATAACTCTGCCACAGATATAATCCAAGTCGGTGATATGCTTTGGATACCATCTTCCTGACTCAATATCTATAAATACAAGTTAAACTATACGATGAAAGGTCCTTAAGTCTGTTTGCTTCTCATATTAATGCCCAAAATATTGTTAATTAGCCAATTATCATATTGACTTCATTAAATAAAAGTGTACCTTTGTTGGACGGAGCGACGTAAAAAGAGTGCTGAAAGCTGATAATACTTTCTCTGCAATAATTTTGCATAACTGATGGAAAAAATATGAAAAGTTGAGTAAATGAAATTAAAAGTAAACTACTGTAGCAGTTACCGGTGAAAGTGATAAGCATCACCATTGATGAAAAAAAAAGGTTAAATCATTTCCAAAATGAAGCTTACCGCCGAAAGTTGAGAAATGAAGAAGTATGATTTCGATTATCCAAATAAGGAATTGCTCGCCCTGTAATATTCTCTAATCCAAAAAAATTTATGAAGATATTTGATTTCGACTTCATTTATTTTCATATCAACATTTCTATTTTTAATTGGAAACAAACACTGCTATCAATTATTTCCCAAAAGTTTTCACCTCTATCAAATTCTCAAAAAAATGAAGGCTAATGAGAAATCCCTTTGAAAAGTTCTAAAATTAAATTTTTGTGAAAAAAGCCTTCATCAAAGACCAAAAGTTCTGATGAATTTGGTGGATTTCAAATACATACAGCAGAAGCTGTTCCATGTTCCAGATGACGACGATAAACGTATCATTTCAATTAAGTTGTTAAGATCACTGATCTAAAGCATTTTCAGTTTAAATTTTAAAAAACTATTGTTCCTGACAATTTGAACAACTGGAGTTAATCCACTGGAAATATTGTATACGCCGATGCTATTATTCAACAAGGTGGAAAATGGGAAATAATCATATGACCATAAATTATTACACGATCAAGATGCTTCCATCCACACGAAGGATGCTAATGTTCTTGGAATGAACTTAACTCCTTATGGCATAGAAGAAGTCATAAAATTTCGTATTTTAATATTAGGAATCTTTCACTAAAGGAACCGTCCACTCATTAACTACAGCAACTAAAGTATTGATTGATAGTAAGCAAGCATTAGACTACTTTTCCGGCGTAATCTTAATTCATCTATTTGCATTTGTAGAAACAAATTTGAGAATATCAGTGATTTAATTAACCCATCATCCCTGGTCTAAATACCAGTGCCAAGGCATGTATGACAGGCATAGTTATGTTGGTATTGCAAAATGCAAATTTTTTTTTTCGTATTTTTTCGGTATTCTGTAATGTCATGTAAATGATATATATCTTTTGGGAGGAAACAAACTAAGTATATTTATTATATAAATGAATAGCGATTAGTTACAATCACTAAGTATGTGGTGAAATGTATCAAAATTGCTGCTTTTTTTCACCTTTTTTTTCAAACAGTCGTGTCATCAGCAATGTCCAATGCTTATTAACCAAAAAGTTCAGAGTGATAAAAATAGCTGGTCTGAATTACACCTACAATATGGCAATGTTCTTTATACTGGGGTATGGGCACATCGAGCTTCTTCTGACTTCAAATATTCAAATATGTTGTGATCTGCGACCTGCGCCTAATAGTAACAATAAAAAATTACATTGCAGTAACTGTAATAAAGCAAAATAATGATGGATCCGTTGAGGATTCCGGAAATGTGTAGATGGGGACAGTTTTGTATGTAAATTGACAAAAGTCTGGCGGAAGACAGATAATGTATTAGTACTATACTATTTGTTTTCTCCTTGTTCAAGAAGACATAATTAGCAGATATCAGGAAGAAAAAAAATTCAAGTTCATTCAAGCTTCGAAGGCTCAGCTATCTTTTTTCAACATTTCAATCTTAATTATTGAAACAGCAATAAATCCGTTGCCATCGTTATTCGGGAGAAAAAAGGTTTCCTGCAATTGCCTGCTTGAAACGAATAGTCATATTATGCATGATGTTGTGGGAAAATTATATAATCACATGTAAACTCATGAAAAAAGATCACTTACATTTTTTAAATGAAATAATTTTAGTTTTCTGAATAGGGTTTAGGGCGATGCATAGAAACAGGAAGTGAAGATGGAACATTTATGGAAACTTCAAACATTATATGAAAAGGCTGTTCGGCACTTAGAATTTTGTTGTAATGCATACTGGACCTTTTGATAATACCAGTACAATTCAGAAATGGGGAATAAATGAAGATATTTCTCATAGCAACCTAACTGCTGTATCATTGGTGTTAAACAACTACTGTATGGAGTGAAAAGATTCCTCGATTAGCAAAGGCAACCTTCCTCAAAACACATATGTACAATATCACCATCAGAATTACATCGTCATTGCAACAGCTGTCGTTCTAGCCAGCAATCAACAATCTATCTATTAGTAATCACCGCAAAATGAAAGATTTGTCAGCAGTTTTAATTCCATTTATTTATTTTTTTAGCGTGCGCCTGCCTTCACCTGTGGTCAACTTTAGCTAACAGCATCGTTACCGTAAACTGGCTTTATTATTATTCATAATGCCAGTGGTGTTTTGATGCAGAAAATTAAATGTCCACTATCTCATGTAGATGGGTACGGCACACGAACAACTCACCAGATCGGTTACTGAATAAAATTTTTCCATCCATTGGTAAAGTGCTCTATTCATTTTTCGCCCACTTCTCAGCATCTCTTCCTTTCCCCCTGTTGTTGAGGTCTCAGTAAAGATCATGATGATGGATCATCCGTTCGTCGTATTCTCATGAATGATATATTCGATATGCCTACTACTGAAATTGAATCGAATTGACGACCATCGATCAACCAACTTAACGTTCCGCTTTCTTCCACTCTCTTCATCTTCCTGTTAATGAAAAAGTGAAATGGTATACATTGTGTTTTGAATGAAGTCTTAAGTTTGAGTCCTCCTTCCAATTAAATCTTTTTGATAAGAACATGTAAAAGTATGCCGATATAAAAAATTTTTAATGACATTCTAGTAGTTCAAAATTTTGTTGCAATTGAAATGGAAGAATGGAAGAAATTGTGAGGACTTCGAGATTGCAGGAAAAATACAGAAGATTAATGTGTTACTTGATGTTAACCACTGCTCACAGATCATTTCCGCCCCTTCTCCATCAGTAACTTTTAAAACAAATGATGCTCATACCAGAATTATTTTTATACTTATCCTCTCACCAATTTCTTGATTTAAACCTTGAAAAATTTGAAACACTTCTGATGAATATTTGCTCGAAATTGAAATGCATGTAGTATTTTGTATTCGGATTTCTCGAACTTTAAATGAAAATGAAGTAAACCCTTGAAAATGAGGTAATGAAAATGATGGATGAAAAAGTTTTAAAACTTGCTGCGTACTTAAAATAGAAGTGATGGTCTTAGGTAGGCAATTATTTTAAAAACAGGTTTGCGTAATTTCGAACGGAATTTTCATTTTCCGAAAAGCTCAGGTCAGATAGTTTTACTTTTTGTCTTTTTCGTCATTGTCTTCGTCTCACCACCAATGTTCGTTACTTTATCATACATCACTTTCAGCTAGAATTGTTCAACAAAAACAAATAAGAATCATTAATTAATGAAGTATGCGTACTTTGTTAGCTACAGCTTAGAAATCTGAGAATAAGGTCAATTCAGATTTATGAAAAATTAGAGACGAGTGACAATCCTACTGCAAAATCAATGTCAGAATGTAACAGAAGCGTGCGAGCATAAATAAGATCAGTTTGCGTTGAACGTTCGATTATGTTTTCACATGTGTTCTCATTCCTCCAGTCATTTATTTTGTTCATCTATCCTCTGTTTACATAGTCGATGAAATGGCGACAATTTATTCCAGTGAAAATTTTAAAAAATCAAAAAGAAACTACTACAAGAACAATTCAACAGGATTACAAGCAAATGATGGAGTGACAACAGCAGGTTGACAAGAAAGAAAAAGAGAAGAAAACAAAACAGAAAGTATAACAGGTTACAAAAACATGATTTAAGGTAAATTTACTCGGTCTAAGCATATCTTTCCGGATTCTGTACGATCTAAACAACAGTTAATCTTGTGAAAAACAGTTCCTTTATCTCTAACAACTCAATAAGAGATAGTAGTATACTCAGTTGTCAACACTGTAAATAGCGACTGTTTGGACTTATACTGGATGGATAATGATCCTCAATGCGCATTCATCTTTCTCCTTCCTGCTGCTTCCAAATAGGTTTTTTATATTGATGATGAGATTCTGTGCCGAATGATTTAAATAAAGCGATCCTCATTGTGATTAACGAGAACCACTTCATTTACTATAAGAGAAATCTCAGAGATGATATTTTTTTTCGTTCAGAGGCCAAGTAGAAAATTTGGCTGTACAAGCCTGGAGTGATTCATGTTTTTTGCTGTTCACTAGAAGAGCAAATTTCTTAATCATTCTTCAGCTGAATCTATTTGTTCTGTTTCCCATTGTTGATCATTAACGTATATCATGTTGATGGTACATATGCAAATCAGAGTGGAAATATCAGCCATAATCACCTTTTATCTTACCTATTTGCTGCATACAGATAAAGACGCCCGATCATCTCTGAACAAATTGTAGTGCTGTTTTCTCGGAAGTTCTGAATATACCATGTCACATCTGGCACTTCCCGATTGTTATCGTGAGCTCATCACAATAAGCTCCTTTTGTAGTCACCAGATAATATAGATAATCTTTGAAAATGATCGTCGGTTGATTTCCAAGCTGAACATCTTTTAAGGGATTCCGAAACTGGTTTGACGTGAAGTGGTAAGGTATGCTTTAAAATCGGTCGTTTAAAATGGATTTCAACGAGGAATTTTTGAAATATGGCCAATCTGAGCAATTTAAGTAGAAACTTGGTGACTGTATTGGGTATCAGAAAAGTTTACAAATTAGCGTAGAGTATAAAAGTACAGTAATAAATCATTTCCGTGCTTTCAACGTTGAGAAATTGTATCTTCCATTCTATTTGGATTGGTATTATTTACTCTAGCATCCGAACAACCATTTCATTTTACTTTCTTTTTGTGATATTTCCATCAGCCATTGCTTTAATTATGAAGCGCGTGCAATTGCAAGGAATGAATTGAAATTAATAAGAGAGCAGATGAAGAAATTACTTCAACTGTTTTCTGCTCTTAGATAAAATCATTTTTCTCTGAACATTTGAGTGATCATGAAATTATTGTTAATATCATAACTTGATGATTGTGGATTCTCAGGTTGACTAAATCAAGCACGAGATTCCAAAAGTTCTGCTTTACAAAGGAAAAATGCAATGGTAGATGTAGTGATGACAAAATCACCGTCTCATAGGCTCATTTTTGATATTTTCCTTGTTATTAACTTAAAAAAAAAAACTTAAAAAGAAAACTTAAAAAAGATGATCCCCAAAAGAGATACCTGTTAACTTATATCCTCAAGCCATAAGTTAAAAATCAAACTTCAAAGTCTGTTTTCTTGACGCTTCCTCATTCTTTTAAGGATTTGTTGTCGATGCTTGAACGATCTTTGGACTCTTCTTTTCAACACAACACCAAATATATCAACTACTTCTTATGCTTAGATTGGTGACAATCAATTCAGACATACTCTCTCGTTCTCCATACACACGAATTAAATTTACAAGTTACATCGGATTCGTTTAGAAACAAATCACAGTTATAAGCGGAAGGGTATTGATCATCACTTGACATTCTTCCGACACTCCAATGGGTAGATACAGTATAACACTGATATCAAGCAAAGACTTCAGCATCAATCGATTGATCCACTTTCAGGACATTCTTGCAAAGATTTCCGAGTTATTACCAAAAAGATCTCTGAGTGCAAATTACATCAAACGCCTTACTCCGGAAATATAACCGTTAACTAATTGATATCATTAGCAAGATGAAGAGATAGGTCGTCTGACCATATGGTTGATTGGTGCTAAATGGCCATGGCCTCCCTTTTGCTTTTCTCTTCTGTCTCTTCCGACGTATATGATTGTTCTTCCCAGTCTTGGTTCCATTTTTTTTAAAATTTATTTTAAAGATAATAAAAATCGCCACTCTAAAGTCATTCCGCCAAAGGTTTAGCAGTCGCGCTTGGACCGTTAACCAATAAATACATTTCATTCCTCCGTAAGTTCAAAAAACCGTTCAGTGATTGTATTCCTGAGTGGAAGTTCGATGTTAACAAATTTTCTTCCACTCAAATTTTAGGAAGAATGGCGTAAAAAGAAGGAATCACATCATCCCTAAACATTTCCTTCTCCGTTCCTCCCAATCCTTTACTGTAAATGTCTACATTACTAGAAAAGAGAAGCTTAGAGGTTATGATTATTCCCGTCATCGTTATATCATATACAGCACATTTGGGAATATGACAGATTCCTCTCTCATTGTTTTCCGTCTTTACAAATACTCAACGAAGCGATCCTTTAACCCTTTCAACAACTGTACATCATTTCAACAAATTATTTAAATTCAAATTTCAGTCACTCTGTCTCACAACTCATCTTTTTTGATAATCGAGACCAATCGTGAAGCTTCAGTGATGGAGAACTATTGAGTAGTTCATGACACAGTTCTCTTGCTTAGTAAATTGATCAAAGAGAAGATCGTCAAACCGTCTATTTGAAACTTTTGAAGTCTTCGACTGGACAATAATTACTTCACCTAATTTATCAAACAACTAAGAGTGACGTAGGCATTTACGTTTGCAAAATGCCACGCGCCAGTAATGTGCCTCAGTAACTTCTTGCATCTCAGCTTGTACTTTGAGATATTACATTGCGGTCTTCGAGACTTATTCAGATTACTTTGTGGAAATGATAGATCTTTTTACTTGGATCTGTATAACTGATGTATAATTACATCCAGCACGACTCACCAAAAACTTATCGAATAATGTTTCGTTATTGGAAATCCTTAGTGCATAGAGATGGGACGAGCTGAACACTATTTAAGATCTTTCGTTTTTTCTTATCACGCATCCTACGTACTAAGTGACTGCTACGTGATTACGTCATGATTTATTTATGACAAAGAATCATCACGCACGATCACTTCAGGTTATGAAATGCAATAATAACACGAAGCGATGTGGTAAACAGAATGGCCGTTCTATCTGACAGCGCTTGATCTTTGATCGAAGTTGAATTCAGCAACGAATCCCTCGTAATTCATTGCAATGGCGATCATTTATAAATGCCTTTGACTGTTAAAAGAGAAGTGGATCGTCCGATCGAGTTCTAGCAACAACTCGGTGATCAGAGACCTTCCCCTCGTGTTTCATTACCTCTCTTGCCAGTCGTCTATTCATCTGTCTCTTCCTCTCCCATCCTGTTCTATCATCCTTTCGTTCTCAAATTTAGAAGTCATCTGGTTGTTTGTTGCAAAGATTTTTTATTCTCTTCATGGTCTGCCTTTCTCCCCTATTGTTTAATTCTCTATTTTCGTTGTCTTTTTCTGTCTGATGTCACCTGAGAAAACACTCAACAATGGGATGTTGTTTACATATTATTTTAATGGACATGAAAGGTCTATCTATCTATCATCGATGCAAAGGCATAGCTGGTGTTATGTCTCTTTCTCCTCTACGCTTCTCTTTTTCTCTCTCGTGGTTGACATTCCCCCACATCTCTATTATCCTTTGTTGAGGAGGTTATTCTGCCGTTGTGGATGACTCTGACTGACTGGCACGATAGCTGTCCGCTCAGTTGTTGGATAGGCAGTAGGTGAAGGAAATGCTTCTGGAAGGTTCTGTACGATGTTGTTGTAAGGTGACGATTGCTTTTCGAATCTCTCAATTCTTTATTCCTTTCCCATCCCTTCTTTGACCTATTTTTTGCACCCTTCCTTTTCTGGGCATATTGGAAATCGTTATTTCTGCATTTGGAACCCATTTTCATTTTATCCGCTTAGTAATTTTCTCATTTTCCGTCTCTAAGATTGCAGTTGAATTTCAAATCCAATTCTGCAAACGTATCATATTTTTGTCACTTGGGAATTTCTCTTATTGGACAACTCTTAGTATTACTGATACCTGTCAGCCACTATAATTTCACTCAAAATGCAAATAATCCATTAGCCTTTACGTCAATTACGAAGTTATTTTTGTTGACTTTTCGATTTCATTACTTTTAATCGCACACAGAGCACTCCTCTCATACGGTGACACCCATAGGGACATATAGGATTCACATCTTTTCATGTGACTGCTGGTGCCCTGGACCCGATCTTCAAATGTTACTACATTTTGAGTTGGTTGCCACTTGGAGAACCTTTCTTATATGTTTTACATCTTGCCTTTTTGCCTTGCATTGCAGGAGGAACAAAGCAACATCCCACATTCATTCCGGGTGTATATATGTATGTGAGTTCGTCAATATTGAAGCCACACTACTGAAGACATTTGCGCTGGGCTGCAGTTACCAGGATGGAGGATCGTCACCTTCCTGAGATTGTGCTCTGTGGCCAATTGGCCGCCGGCTTCCATAAAGAAGAGATCCAAGAAGAATACAGTGACGTCCTGAAACAACACCTCAGCCTTGGTCGTACAGATCACCATCAGTGGTCCATTTTGGCTTCGAATCGGGAAGCATGAAAACACATCATCCGTAACATTGCTCCTTCCTTCGAACACAGAACCAGTCTCGAGGACAAACGACAGTGCAGAAAAACCGTACCTCATCAGTGCCGTCTAAGCAGACCTTCCACAGTGGCTTTTGCATCCTAACTTGTCTGTCCCACATTGACCTTCTTAGCCATTAGCACGTCTGCAGCAAACGTGAGTGTGGCCCTCCACATATCTTCGTTCGCGAAGCACAGCCAGTGCATGGTGCATGCTGATGCGGATCGAATCCGAATTAGCTGGATTAGTTAACCACTATTCGTGTATTATTTTCGTTTTATAAAGACTTGAGAACAGTGTTTGCCTTTTTATGAGATGATAAAATTGCCATTCGAGCTATAAACTGAGATTTCTTATTTGCGACCGTCTATTTAGACTCGAAAATGAGTTATTAATGAATTTACTTTGCGACGTCATGCCTTGTTTTGCAAACGCCAAAAGAAGCTTGCGCGGATGAATTTAACAGAATGTGAAATTCACCTACACTGACAATTCAGTTCTCGCTTAATCGCACTTTGATTTATCTAAAGAAGTAAAATTTAGTAATGGTGAATTCAATCAATTGTAAATAAAGAACTAGGAGATTATACCGAAGCTACTCTTTCCTTTCAAAAATTTTGGAAATTACTTCAGAGTATTGGTACTTCAGATTCATCGTTACCTCAGATTTTGACTTACGTTGTTATCATTGGCTTCCGAAGTGCATTTCATCTTTGTATTACGTATACCACTGGGTATGATAAACCAGCTGGAATAATCATCCAGGTAGATATTTAGCTCATATGGATTCCTTGTACATCACCATTTTTTGCGGAAGCTGACTTATAGACAAAGTGCAGATTTAATCTCTTGTTAAAGGGGATATATTCTGGCAGTTTGTCTGATTTATATTTATTGAAAATGGAGTGTAGTGGAAGTTTATCATTTCATTATCGTATCAGTTTTAGCAGAGGAAATAATATTTTTCGAATACTATATATATCTTCATCGTGATAATTTCCAGTACCATAGTTCGAAAACACCGTATTCGATGATTTCCATTCATTTGTTCGGTCAGAGAATTTCTTTCTTATTCTGAATGTCTCTCTAGATTTCGGACTTTTTATTCCTTTAAGATTACGAAAAGCATACAAAAGGGTATATTAGCTTTATAAACCATTTTTATCGATAGATATGAAAGACTCATGGATAAACAGATCTATTACCTCTTTTGCCCGAGCGCTAACTTTAATATAATTTGGATAGCAAATACCAATAGATTGTATAACAGACTTTTTTAGTGAAATGAGTTACGATTTTTCACTGGGAGGAAAGTAATCGTATGTTGCATGCAGTTGGATTGGGTCCTACTTCATGCCCGTAATTTGATGTATTTTTTCTCTCCTTTCCTGCTCCTTAACATTACAGAAACTTCCCTCATCATCGCTAGTTAAATATTCTGAGAATCTTCCATAATATTTGCACGGATTCACATCTTTTTGGAAAATTTTCGAATTTTCCTTTTCCGTGATATAATCCCTAGAGAAATTTATTACCTAGCTTTCCAGTTTGCGGCAGAGTTCATAATAGCCGTGGATTTCAAACACTGTTTTCAAAATATATGGTTGAATATTGGTTTACACAATATCATAATTTCAATATTTTGTCACTAATATCTTCTTGTCAATTCGAAAGGTTTAATTAGCAAAACAGTATTAATCATAAGATACTGAAGTTGTACACGCTACTTTTTGCATCTCCTTCTACAGATCACTTTTATAGTGTTTTGTTCAATTTCATTTAGAACTTGACGTTTTTGTGAAAATTTGTGTCGTAATCGTTCATTTTGTATTGATGTTTATCGTTGAAAAGTTTTATATGTATTTTATTGCAGAGTTCGGTTAGCGTAGGAAGGAATTCGTGTGCACTAGTCACTACGATTCTATTGACTGAGAAACGCGGCGGTTGGTGAGAGTGAAATTCATCTGGTTGCCAAACAACTCAAACTGAAATAATTTAGCCATATCATCTCGGTACTGTCCAGACGAAATTAACATTACGAGGTTTGCATGGAAATTATGTATCATTATTCAGAGATTTCAAATTTTTTAAATAGTTTTTGCCTTTATTGGTCTCAATTACCTGCAGTGAGGAAACTGAGAAGATGAGGGTCGGCGTCTTTTGGTGAACTTATCCTTGCAGTTTTTCCGTACTTCATAGGATTTCTCAACTGAAGGTTTGCGGAAAAAATATATGCGAATGACTATAAGGTGAAATAATGATGTTTGTTTTGTATGGAAGGCTGAAAAAAAGCGAATGAAGCATTTGGCATGATTTGAAGAAAGTTCTGATTTGCAACATTAACACAGAATTTTTTTAGAATGTAATTTTAAAATAGCTTTTGACTCGGAAGAATTGAATAGTATCGTCTTTCAATGGTGTGTAGAATAGATATGTCATTACAAACTCGAAACAGTTTCTCGCTTGGATAACAAAATAACGTGAATGACAAAGTAAAGGCTCTTTTCATTTATTGGAATTTTCTGATTCCCAGTTTTTGTTCGGGAAGTTTCATTTCCGTTCAGCGCTGAAAGATGAGAAAAAGCAGTGCACTATATCTAGAACCCCTTTTTTGAACACTTGGCAAAGTGTTTCATTAGCGACAACGTTACAGGGCGAGTAAATATTCAGCGTTCAGTGTTCTTGATTTTCGTGTTTTCATTTTGACTACATTGTTGCATCTCATGTGAAACTGTGGGAAATTATGGCCTTTTTAGTTGCCCTTCATGGGTTAAGATTGGGAATTACCTGACTTGCTATCTCGAGAGCGACTGAATAACAACTTTTGAGGATTTTCATAGGCAACTTCAACGAGATCAACTGTAATTTTCGCCCGAACTCTGTGAGGAGGAAGGGGATGAGTTAAAAAGAAATGATTGATTATTTGGAGGAAGAGCAAGAAATGGATGGAAACTTCACATCATGAGCAATTGAAGTTTGAAATGTTTGCCGGTTACTTTCCAACTTTTATTGCTACACATATTTCTGGTAATTTTTGGTCATAAGCTGAGTTTGATTTACCATCCTCTCAGTGGTCTGTATACTGATGAGTAATTCCTTTGCGATGTCGTTGAAATTAGAGAAGCTGTAATAGCGCTGTTTCGTCTTTCCCATTTATAATAAAATATATGTTTTTAATAAGTTTGGTCATTGACATTTCTGAAACATCTTAAATGAATTCAGTTGTTAAAAAATGTGTGAATATAATATACTATATGTAATAGTAAGAAAACTTACTATTGCAGTAATAAGAAAAATTTCTTCTTACCATTGTTTACATAAGAATTAAAACATTCTTTAAATTAACAAAAAGTAAAAAACACATGTACATTGCAGATGCATGCGCTATTTGGCGGGGTGTTATGTGTGTATTGGCTTCAGACAATAAATATAATAGTGCTTGAGAAGGTCTCTACCTTCTATAGAAAATTAATAGTGTATTCCTTTACTTCTTCAATCTACGGATTTAGTTTAACGAAAACAGTTGGGGAATGAAAATTCTTTTTGATTCCTTCCCATGATCTGAACCGAGCAGTGTAAAGATTCAGGAGTTAAGGGATTCCCTGTAAATGTTTCGAACTTTTTATTGTTATGGGAAAAATCTGAATTTAGCTGAATGAAAGCTTACGGACAAAACACATATGCTTGAGCGCATAAGTAAAGAAGTAGAGAAATGAACTCTCCTTTTTACTTTTTGCTCGTGACGTCCAATGAAGTTTTTTTGATAGAGAATAAGAAAACTAATTCAAAAGTTCTACATCGGCAAATCCCTTATCGGAGCGCAAATTAAAGGTACTATTTCTGGTACCAGCGATAATGGCAATAAAACTGGATTAATTATAATCACACCACTGTTGGTAATGATAATAGTGGTGGGGAGACCGTAATGTCTCTTTTTCCGAGATCTTGATAATGCCTTGAACTTTGAAACGAACTTGGCCTTCCTGATACGAACATTCTCAGTCAGTGCATGGTGGAAGCGCGTGTGTTGTCGTAGAGGGCATATTATTAAGGTTCTTTGTTTACATTTTTTTTGTCAAATTTGCAAAAGTCGAAAAACTTCGTTTGAAGAGACTACGGTTTTCAGGTATATAACCTGCTCAATTAGTTTATTCAGTCAAATCGATATCAATTGACAATAACAATTTATTTCCCGGCTGTCTACCTCGCGCATCATTCGTCATATCTGCTCACGCGTTTCACGTCAGGAAACAGTATTTCAATATCACCGCAGAAAAACCGAGCGAAAAAAGTTTGTGTCTTCTAGTTCGTCTGTAGTGCATCTCAAGATCACACAGGCAGCATTTATAATATTTCAGTCCTTGATAAACTTACATTAGATTATTATCCTGGGAAATATTTGAGGGATTTTGGACTGAGGAGCTGCGAACAACGCAATGTTCTATTTCGACGAGGATCATATGGAGAATGGTTTCGGTAAGATAACCTGTTTCGAAATGAAATATGTAACACGTCAGGGAACAGTTGCAGCACTTCTAAATTAATTGCTAGGTGCAATTGATGGGTGTAGTTGTCAGTCACTGTACTTTTCTCTTGCGTGAAGGATATTTAATGGCCTTATCCGTATTAAAATAATCGCTGAAAAGAATCCAAAAATAGTGTGTTTGGATTATTGTTCCATTCCTTCTAGACTCAGTGGTAGGTCAAAGGCAACACTTGGCATTCTATATTATCTCCCATTATTTGCATGTCCATCAGTCATATCCAGCCAGCTTTCGTCTAGATCTGTGCATGACCTCTGAAACTTTTAGTGTAAATAGCGAACTCTCTTCTACCCACATATACACGTATACACATACAGACACATACGTGCACACAGACATACAGATAAAACAAAGTTATCGTCTGAAGCAGTGGAGAGTGAGGAAGACAGTTATTTTTGAGGTGAATGGCAGCTTCATGTAACTCTGCGGGGAAGAGGGGAGAAGGGCGGAACTTCTGTCAGGAATGTCGTACAATTAAGGCAGCAGTTTCAAATGTAACAATCTAAAACAGAGATTATTATTTATAAGAGAAAATGAGACGCAGGTGGACGAAGTTCTGGAGTAGTCGGCCAGTTGAGTGGCGCTGCTGGATTGGTGAGTCATAACTGAATCCATTAGAAAATGCTTTTTGTTTGATCCGGTCAAAAAAATATAAGTGGAAAAAGTGTTCATCTTTGTCAGAATTTTCATGTGGTGTATTAACTGCCCTACCCTACCAGTTTTCGTCTCTTTTCGATTTTTATCGATTCCACGAGATAGTTTTGTTGTGAAAACGTAGTATAGTGAGGTATTTTGTACAAAATATGTGTTGAAATCATTCCCATTCTCTTCAAGCTTTCATGGTGTATGTATTAATTTCGTTTTAATTACGTTTTGATTGCCTAATACGGAGAGTCCACATTTTATCTCATTTTATTTTAAGTTTTGTTCAATTTTAATGTTTTTCATTTTATACCACACCATTCTAATAATTTTTTATATGTTTACAAAGAACCTTCCACGTTCTCGTATGTAAAGTCCTTATGGTGGAAAGTAGCTGAACGTTTTTGGAACTTCTGTTTCTCAAAGAAGCGAAAACATTTTGTGTTTCATTGCCAGAAAGTAAATGTAGCGCTCTTTATGTTGATATCTGCAGCTTCCTATTACATTCACCATTCTTCTACCACCGCTATAGAAAAAATGTTTCACATAAAATCGGTCTTAAGGTTCAACGGAGCAATTTTCAGTGAAACTAGTTTAAGTTTTGGCTGTTAAAAAGCACATTGAAAAGCAGATCTAAACTGTTTATTGACCTTCAGCGTTCAGGTAGATACTCAAAACATTTAAAAGATGGGTTAATTGGCTCTGTGATAGAGTATTATTTGAATTTTCTCAATCTTTCAGGTTACAAGGTAGGATTTTATAGTTCCTGATCTTCGAATCTTATTTTTAATTTACATAATGGTCAAAAGAATATTCTAATAAAATGAGTTTATATGGTAACTTTCATTTAGGACTGTCTCATTACGCAATTAAAATTCGACAATTTGGTTTTTTTTTTTTTTATTTCTGAAATCTGAAGAACTACGTATATTGTTCTCTTGTCCTCACACACTGATTACGCTTGGGGCAAAATTTATTGAAAAAAATGTGACTGTATTGCATTACACGGAATATCAGATTGTGTATGTGCTCGACGTACAACTGTGTTAAGGGGTGATAAAATGAAATTTTGAGTTTAAAAGTTTAGTTGAATTGAAATTAAAGGACGTGCTGTGCGTAACACATGTAAAGGTTGTGTGGCGATTCTGAAACTGGATCAGTTGGAACCGGTTGTGAGAATCATGAGTGAAATTAATACTGTTGCTGCAATAGTATTTGCACTAGGAGAAGTACTAGAATACGATTTATTCCATCAGCAGTACTTTTTTGTATCTTCATCTCCTAAATGATCTGCATTAGCTCACTTCTGTTTGTATTTCCGCTGTTTGGTTTTGTTTTTGTGAGGCTCGAATGAAATATTTCATCCTAAGTTTTAAATAGTTTTACTTAAAAATGTTCATAGTGATTTAATTTGAAATTTTTGCGTTCTCTTCATTTAAATCCAGCAATCATAGAATTATTTATGGAAAATACTCTTGGGTGTGGACAAAGAAGGGGATGTTGTGATAACGAAATTTTAAGCTAGTTATCGTTTGTAGTGTTTATGATGTTAGTGTCGATTAAGTCCAGATGTACGTCTATGGTTGTAATGAAACACCAGCTACAGAGTGTTGCACGTTTGTTTTCCATTCCTGTTTTAAAGTTTCTCTTAGATTTTTATTGATTTGTCGAAGCAATTTTTGCATCAGTAGTTACGGGGTGTGAGTTTTTAATATGAACGTAAAAAAGTAGAAGGATAAAATTAGGAAATGGGAGTAGCTAACTTTGGATGCGTTTTTAACAGCAGTTCGTAGCGTGTTTTGAGGAAAACTGAGAAAGAAGCAATGGAGAATCGGATAATGGTTTTGGATTAAATTTTTAAATAAGGTAGATAATGGAAGATCTATTTGTCAACAGTATGGCTGAGAATTTTCCGCTTTCGGTGTTTTTACATCTCAAAGTTATTGGAATTAAACTTGCCTTGTTATAAGACAACACTTGGTTTGTTTAGTTCACTTAAGACGATGAGAAATGATTTTTTTTAACACAATATCGTCACATGGTTTCTCCTAAAATGATGAAACTGCGAAAAAAATTCGAAGTTTGAAACTTTTCTCTAGCGACAAACATGTTTTAGCAGTTCAGATTACAGTCGTTACTGTTTTGGCATATTTGCTCGTCAGTTTTTATGAATTTTTCCTTATCCAGACGCTCCGTTAGCATCTGACAACGAGGACGAGCAACGGGTGAACGAAGCACTCCATCGGCAAAATCCGCGGCGGCAAGAGCAAGTTGAAGGTGCGGGTGAGGCGCGGGAATCAATTGACGGACAGCCACAAAACAACAAAGAGTGGCAACGAGCAAAAAATTCTGGTAAGGTAACCACGAGTTAAAGAGAGAGAGCTATGTGTTTGCATCAAAAGAATTCTGTTTGAAAAGATTTTCCTCACTGCATTCAATAAATTGAGATCTTTTAGTAACCGGAATGCAGTTATGTTTAATAAATTGAAAGCACTTGAATTCGTCATATTGTCTTGTTCCATATATAGAATAAACGGGGAATTTGATGTTTTTTTGATATTAGAAAGTATTTAATGCAAAACATGAGATTTAGTGATACGTTTTTGTTGGGTGAGAAAACTGACCTCTGTGTTCATGGAATGGAATTGAAGTATATTGGCAAAGGTTTACCCAGTCCTTCATGAGTCATGGTGTATTATGGACATGTCGTCGCAGCATTTGTAATATAACCTTGAAAGGATTCTTTTTGTAAGAAAGAGAAAGAGGGAATTAAGGTGTAGCGAATATAAACTTCAACATTGCAGCTATTGATCGAAACCTTCTTTTTCAGGTTCTACGACATCATCCACAGGGAGCTATGGAGGTGGTCGTTGTTCTTCGGAGACAACGACAGGAAGTTCGCCTCGCGAGTAATTTCTAAATTTTTTCTTTCTAATGCAAAACCATAATAATAACAGAAGGAACATGTTTGTGTAATTTATTTTAGTAGACGAGTACAGTTTTCATCTTTACAAATTTCTTTTAGCTTTATTTCGGGACATCCTGTAGAGGGTGAATTTGATGGTCTAAATAATGGAGAGTCAGAATCCGAAGAACAGCCTGCCGAACTCGTTCCATTAGGCATGCGTACCTATAGTTTATCCGGTTGCAAAGCACGTTATCGTAAAAAGGCTCGAAGTCACTTTGCAGGTTTTTTTATATTTAATTCTTAAAATTTTCATGTTTCTTTTACATGTTGCAAAATAATACGGATTGCAGTAATAGTCTTCCAGTCGAAAAGACTTTAAATATATTTAAAATCAAAGGTCAATTTAACCTTGATATGGATCAACAATGTTTCGCATTCGGTTCCCATTTAAAGAAAAAAAGATTTACGAGAGTCCCTGTAGATGTTTGATGTGATCCGGATATTCAAAATCAGGAATAATTTTAGATTTCTACAAACTAATGGATGATCATCTTGGGTCAGGAGCATATGCAAGTGTTAAAACGGGTATCTCACTCGCAACTGGTAAAGAATTCGCTATTAAACTGATTGATAAACATAAAGCGGGTCATACGCGCTCACGCGTTATGCATGAAGTTGAAACATTTAATCTATGCAAAAATCATCCGAATATTGTACAGCTGCATGAGGTACCGTAATTTTATGGTTGTTATTGTCGTATGAACTAAACTGCTTTTATGAAATTTAATGAATCCGAAAATGCAAAAACAATAAGACAAGGAAGGGTAATTGTCATTTGAAGTGTTTTATACTCTACTTAGAGTTACATTTGAACATGCCAATTTTTTCGGTATAGCGGTGTTACTTGTGCGTTTTGCTAGTTAATTTCATCAAAAATCCCTTCAGATAACCCAGTTCTACACATAACCCAATTTCGATGCCCATCTGTTCAAAGTCTATAAAATGAATCATTTTAAGTGGTTCGAAGACCATGACCGATTTTATTTGGTGTTCGAGAAAATGCGCGGTGGTCCTCTGCTTGATCATATCCAACGCAAGAAATTTTTTACGGAACAAGAAGCAAGCAAAGTAACAGAAGACATTGCCACTGCGCTGAAATTTTTACATGACCGGGGTAGATTTTTCAGCTTCAATTTAATCTGAGCATCGAGTAATGGTTCTAAAATTTTGTTTGTAGGGTTTATTAAATTCTCTGTTGACATGAAGGCAAGTTGTGCATATGGCAATAAAGATTGTGAAAAACTTTTATATATTTATCTTAAATCTTAAATTAGAGCTTTTGGAGAAATGGTGGTTAAGTTCTCGCTTTACAATTCTCGATTTCCATTCCTGATGTCTAATTAAAATTTGGTCCTGATTAAAATTTGCTTCTAATTTTAGGAATTGCACATCGCGATGTGAAGCCAGAAAATGTGCTATGTTCAGATATTGATCGCGTAAGCCCAGTGAAAATATGTGATCTCGATCTTGCAAGCAAGGCTAGTCCTCCATCTTCACCGCGACTAACCAGTGTCAACAGTGAGCCAGATTTAGCAAGCCCTGTGGGAAGTGCAGAATTTATGGCTCCTGAGGTTTGCTTAATTTTTACTGAAATTAATGGAAGGTAACACTATGAAAATCTCAAGAGCTTTTGTTATCACTAAGTTAGCTGTTTAATGGTAACCCTACTTGTCACAGTACTTTTAACTTCTGGAAGTAGGAAAATTGGTATTGTGGTTTTAGGTAGTAGATGCTTTCGTTGGCGATGCACTCAAATATGATAAGCGTTGTGATATGTGGTCACTTGGTGTTATTGTTTACATCATGATATGTGGTTATCCGCCATTTTACGGTGAATGCTGGCGTGAAAACTGTGGATGGGATCAGGGTTGGTTTTATGCGGATTATTCGAATTTTATTCCAAATTTTCTATGATTCCAGTAGCATATTGGAAAACCATAATTTTCGTTTAAATTCATTAAAATGAAAGTTTAGTATGCACCGAAAAAGTTCTCAAAATTTCAATCGATTTCGCGGTTATAACCAATCACATGTGACGTTATAGCTTATTTCAGGCTTATCATGTAACGACTGCCAGGAAAGTTTGTTCAAACGCATTCAACGGGGGCAGTTTGATTTTCCGGCCCCTGAATGGGAAAACGTAAGTGAGGAAGCGAAGGATCTCATTTGCCATCTGCTGGTAGACTTTCTTTGGATAAGATTAACCATTTTGATTATTAAATAATTCAGTCGGAATTTCCTACTTTAAAGTTTTTAGTTATTTCTTTTTATTTAGGTTAAGAATGTGCGTCAGCGTTTCACTGCTGATGAAGTATTAAAGCACCCGTGGGTGAAAAATGGCGCACCAGAGACCAAACTACAAACTCCGGGGAATTTATTCCGGTCTGTTTTTGTTTTCGAATTCCCAAAATTCCTTGAATGGTTGAATTCCTTCTACGCAAACTAGAGATGTTTGTTTCAGTAATGATAGTACTCGTGATGTTCATCAGATGCAGGAGCACTTCAATGTGATGAATCGTATTGTTGCAGCGCGATTAAGTGCTCGGATGGAGCAAAGTGAACATGATTCTGGTAATTTTTTACTATCAATTGGTTGTGGTTGTTTTGAGTGCAGTAAAAATCAGATGTAAGAAATCAGGATGCTTGCGACTGATGATTTTTACCCGTTCCCTTCCAAGATCATACCGATGTATTCCAATGGCGGCTCAAGTACCAACTTGTTTAAATTGAATTTTGGACTCAAATGTACAATTTCATTGTTTTAAAATACTAGTCGTATGTTTATTAAGCTATAAGCTACGTTTATCTTGTTCGTATTAGTAACGTACATTCTTGAAGAACTGACGTGGCTGTTTAATGTTACAGATGAATCAGTCGATGAACGACCAATCTTAAGACGATCACCAGAGTATAAAATATTCGAAGATATTACGGCAGATAAAATTCTGACGAAACCAGTAGAGTCGAAGCAACCATACAATGTTGTTACGACGAAGGTTGAAGCAACGTTCCGAGAGCAGTCATCGAAGCCAAATAGTAATGTATCAAAAACAGCGAGAAAGAATCCTGCGAAACAGAAAAATATCAAAAAATTAGTGATTCGTAAAGCTCCAAGTCATGGACATAGTGTTGTACAGTGTGGCGCTCCAGCGATGCCTTTCATGAATGGAACCAACAACAGTGGCAATCCGTATCCTTTACACTTTTCGAAGGTATATTTATTTATTACTGATAGCTCGATCTTCTTGTCATAAAAGCTGAGAGATTCTGGCAAAATGATGACAATCTGGCAATTACGTTTCAAATTTTAAAATGATCTTGGTAACTACCTATCTGCGCAGTTTTGGTTCTAGAATTTGATTTGTCTGGAGCTTGTTGCTTTCTTCTTTCATTCTAGCTGGCGTTATTTTTTTAATGTATAGATGTAGTTGAGAGTAAGACAAAGGTAATTAGGCTTGGAGTTTCAAAAAATCTTTCAGATATCACTGCCTTCTCCATTACGGTATACAGATGGCATACCGTTATTACAAACTCCCCATGTTGTACCGCCATCACCTTTCCAACCGCCGGGTCAAATTGTCAGCATGAATGGAATGATTTTGTATCCACGCATGCTCCCACAACCTATTTGTCCACAACAGTTGTCACCGCAGCAAATGGTAAGGCTTCCCTACCTATGTTATCTGAGTTAGTTTATTAAATTTAAGCTCGAAATTATTACTCATCCTAAATAGTGTGAGCTGAACTCAAACTTCGTAGGTAGTTAGCTATTCTCATTTCTTTGCTTTTTTGTATAAATTCAGACTTCTAAAAATAATTTTCCAGTTTCATGTCGTTTCTCCATCATATGTTGCCAGTGCCGCTGTTCGTATGATACCCTATCAGACGACTTATGGCAATAATATCTTTCATGAGGCAGATAGAAGACGAGAGCTGCAGTGTAACGGGATGTTGACAAGAGCTCAGCTACAGCAGTCAGTGGGTGGGCAAGTTCGACGAACAGTGGTAACTGTACGTTCTGCTGCAAATCTCTCTAGACCGTCGTTCGGCGATAATCAGTGCGAACAGCTAGAAACTTGCCAGAGTGCTATGGTCAAGCAGGTACATTTTTAAACTTAGGAAGTGGAAATAATTTGGGGGTAATTGCTGTTTAGACTAATGAGATGACGAAATGGAGTAGTCATTTCCAACAACTCGAGAATGGAAGTGTTCAAAACAGTTGAATTGAAGTGAATTCTAATTTGATTTGAGGGATTTGGAATTTACAGCTGCCGTATTATGTCGAAATTTTCAGTATGTATTGTCGTATAATCAATTTTTTTAGGATTCGAAAACGGACTTACGTCAGTGTCAGACACGTGAAACTCAGGTAAACGTCTAGTAGAGTGATCGTGGGAATTACTCAGTGTCGGCTCACAGAACTAGTTCTCCAACTCATTTTAAATAGTTTTTTTTTGAAAGTTGGTGTAGTTGTCACTGACAACGAAATCACAACCGGGAAATCGCAAGTTAGGCCTTTGAAATGTCATACCATCGTTGCATCAGAAAAACCAGCATTAGATTGAGATGAAGGTATTTAAGCTAAAGCTGGAGGAAGTATTCGTTCCATTTGCATTGCTTGCTGTTCATTCTGCAGTTTTATTATTTGTATATTTATTATTTTTTCTGGAATTACTAGGTTTGATTTTGGTTCATTTCATTTTGACTTTGTTTTTATAAGTATTTGATCCTTTTAAAATTCAATTCAAATTCACTTATCGTGTCTTTATTATCAGAAAAACTAAGAATTGTGGAAATAAAAACTAAAGAGAGATTGTAGCGGAGAGAATTACGTGAGTCTAGAACAGATTTTTTTTCAATTTTTATGGAATAGCCTTGATTTATTGGCCTTTTTTGTTATAAAATTCTTTATGCTCTCTTCTAGTAGACGAAGTGATATTGAATGATATATTTTATGCATATCTTCTGGTTTTAAAATTGGATGTGTAAGAACCAATTTTCTTATCAACTGTTGGAATGTTACAGAATTGTTAATTCATCGTTAATATTCACCTTGAACGAAGTCATTCTGAAATCGTTGTTGTAGTTAACATCCATTATTATTGCCTTAAAAAAAGTGGCTTTGATATGGCTGATTCGACTGATCTGTTTCCGTTTACCGATAGATTCCCTTTCCTCTTTCGCTTTTCCTTCATCCTTTATATTGACGATTGGTTTCGAATGAATAAATAAATGATTTCGACTGTTCATGACTATTCTTTGAATTGTTTAGGATGAAAAGTAATTGAGTTCTAATTTGCTTATGATGCTACGGATTATTTTTTCTAATCACATTTTTTCCTAATTTTATTTTTTTCCCTTCTTCCTACCACAAAAATTTCTACGGGAACAACAATTTTCTCCTCGAAAAATCAAACCATTTTAGTTTTATTGATTCAGAGAGGCGGCCGAAATTTGTAAAATCAGAGTTTTTCGAAACATTTGGTGCAAACCACTTTTTCTTTGAAATGTTTCCTTTGAAATGTTAGTAATCTTACGTTCTTGTTTACACGTCTTGGTAGAATACTTGACTTGAGGGCAACTTGAGATTCAAACTTGCTTGTACATATTGTTATATTTTTGTTATTTGATTACTGTTAGTGTACATAAACCCAGGCGGTGTTATGTAATTAAGCGTCATTATGTAAATAGATTAAAAGTTATGTTTTCATGAAACATTTGGAACGTTTGATGGTTAATTGTATATTTTTCATCCAAAACACTGTCAATGCTGTTTTTTATATTCGTTATTTTTCAAGTAATTTTCTTTTTGTTAACAGTGATGATTCATGAGAGGGATGATTATGGGAAATACTTCCTGAAAAAAGCAAATTTTCCGATATGTTAATGAATATTTTCAATTACAGATGCGGTCCTTCTACAAGGTCCTTTAGTCTCTCTCTTTGACATCAAGGCTTGGTGAACATAGCCACCTCCAATCAGTCAATACTTTGTTTTTATTTGATAAGTATTTTTGTTTGGTGAGATGTCCTTTTTAGGTGCTTTAATTTGGTCTATTATGGGTTTATTTGAAGCTATTCAGTTTGTGATTTTTCTGTATCCTGCATTGAAATTTAAGTGGCCATACCATGGGCTTGTTTTGATTTTTTTTTTTTGATTTTTGTTATGGGCATTCCGCACAATTTTGAATAATCCAGCTTATCTATTTGTATTTACAAGGAAGGGAAAAATAATGTCCATGGTAAAACAGCATATTTCCGACCTTTCTATTTGTGGATTTTAGTAAAACAGCATATTTCCGACTTTTCTATTTGTGGATTTTACGACAGCTTTTTCTAATCTGTGTTCTTTTGATTCCGGTCTTCATGATTTAAAACTTGTATTCTGTTATATATTTATTTACAACTATTGGCACAGCGTATTTAATTGATTTATTTTCTTTAGGTTGTTAGTTTGTTTCATTTTTTGATTTATCTCGTATATATTATTTTATGAATGGATTTCATTTTTTGGTGTTCTGTATCCTAAATTTATATGTGTTTCGAGAATTAAAATTATATTCTGCTAAAGCCTTGATGATTAATGAAGAGGAACTTGAAAATCTCATCAGTTCATCCACGCAATCATGCTAATTCTTGCTTGCAGCACATTATGTATTCTCCCTATTGGATCCATTGGTTATTGATAAAGGTAGTCATAATGAGATAGGGACTGTAACGGTTTCTACGTTCCTAGTTGTGGTGGGACGTTCCCGCTGCCATTGTACACTTCTCAACATTTTTGTTATTCATATTTGGTAATTTCTATGTATGAGGCACATTTTTAGTGCGGATCACCCTTTGTTTGGAAATACCCTAAAAGTGATTGTCTGGCAGCCTTTTTTAACGGGGAAACAGGGATATATAAAATCTTTCTGATTTCGAGCTCAGGTTAATGCGGCTCGGAAAATTTCGAAAGCTTCCTGAAGCCATTTGTGGCTAGTGTTGATGTATTCCAGATTTGGGCTAGGTATGTCGCGGAAGGTCGCTTTGCTTGCCAACGAAAGTTAGTGGAAAAGTTGGGAGTAAGATCTTTGGATCTTTGGAAATAGATCTGAAAAAATAGATCTCATTAGGAATGCGAGAAGCGATTTTAACCTGAGTTCAACGCCTGACTATACTGCTATTAATCAAGAAGCCGGCTTGATCAGTCTGAACAATTTTAAAAGCTTCAAGGCAAATCGATGGATTGGTGGTTTAGTGGTTCCGAACAAATCGTAGGTATGTAGGTCCGTAAGGAAGAGATAATTTCCTCATTTTGCATACTGCCCTAAGAATTTTTGTATGAGCGGAAATACATCGTGGAATCCGACGTGCACATCTCATTTTTAATCTCTCACCTTGATCCTTGGCAGAACTTTTTTCGAACTTCATGATTAACTCATGATTTTGTGCATTCTGTTCAACATATTTGTAATTCAACCTACTAGATTGGGGAAACCTCACTAGACAATTTAATGCACCCACTGCTCACATATGTTAGAATTGTATCTGAAGCAATCAGAAGTATGAAATCAAACACGGGAAATATATGGCATATAGTTAACTGAAATAATCAACATCGTTTTTCGAGTTCGCCTGTTCAAATTATCTAAAAATTCTGTTGAAATTTTCACAAATACCAATTGAAACTGACTACAGAATTATTATTCGTTTTGCAGTCCACTTCAACAATTTCTCTCACTTTTGCACCTTTATCAACATCGATGAACAATCTTCAGCTCTCCTTAATCATTATTGTCTACAGTCGGGTGGAGAAACAACATTACCTTAGTAAATGATTCCATGAATTATTAGGAACCTTCCAGTCATTGGCACAGCATATCTATCAGCATATGACATACATCTCCTAGCTATTAAGGGACTTCATTCAATCTGCCAGAGTTGAAGAACCATCTGTTCCTGGATCAAGAACAAACAATGATGTCATCTATGGCTCTGTACATGTTGTCACATGCATTCCGATGAGAAAAATTGGTCCGAAAAATAGAATGGATTTCGTTGATAAGGTTACAAGCCAAGATATGGTAAGGATAGCCAGTTGTGGGAATGGGATGCATACTAACCATTCACTTCACTTTACTGGCCAAATTCAATTCCTGCAGCCAGCATCCCATTCTCGTTAACTCCCTGAATATGGTGTGTGTGTGTCCGTGGAGAGAGAGGGAAAGGGAGAGACAGTCCTTTCTTTGCTTTCTGGTCTTAACAGAATCTGAAATTTTAAGATAAACTGATCAAGGTGTAAGTAAATAAATAACTCAGAAAATATAAACATTTGCGATTTGTAATGATCTTTGAGCGCTACCCGGCACTACACTTCGTCGCTTTTCCGATAGTTATATTCTGAAAGAGAGAGGGAGACAGAGAAAGAGAGAAGGAGACAAAGAGAAGAAGGTGAAACAGAACAGGGAGAGGTACCTTAAAGTATTGATTGTTTTTCAACGTTGCAGCAGCAGCAGCAGCAGCAGCAACATTTCAATGTCGTTTTGGAAGAAAATAGGATGCATTAAAGGGCTTGGCAATGGGAAGCAATCCGTCGTCCATGTGGGAACACTATCAGTACAAATGCTGCTGCTAACCCCCTAACCTTTATCCGTACTGTTATCCTTTTTGCCCACTTTTTAACCTATCCTTTGTCCATTGATTGTCTCGTTACCCGAACTTTTTCCGAGGATATTGTTATTTGCTTGCTGATGATGACACTCTGTCCATTTTCTTCAAGCACTTTACAGTCCTATTTTTGGATATATTCTGTTACTGGTAGCCAAGTACCATTGGCTGAACTGTTTCACCTTACCCTTGCTATGGTCAACTGCTTCTCCCTCACTTTACGTTTACCCTTGCATTTAATAAAACAGTAATGCAATTAAGATCTGTTGAAGTAAGTGTAAGTACGATTTTTGGGAATAAATCCATTGGTGTATCTCCGTCAAAGCAGTTTACAATTTTGCGGTATAAAACAAATGAAACAAATTGCTGGATTATTGGGCACACTAAAAACTTTAATAGTTTCATTAAATTCAATCGCTTTTTGTTTTCAGCACCGGAAGGAGTAAGCGGAAACTGCCACACAATTTACAATAATCATTGTTTCGGTGCATAAAACTCACCAATCCTGTATTGCTATGTTGTAACTCTACTTACGTTCTACTCATTTGACTCTTATTTGCTCATAGCCAGCCAGTTATACTATTTTACTTTCCAGCAAATTGTGGCATTCGGGATTGGTGACAGTGTGGTACGAGGGATATGCGGGATAGGTCGATTAGATAAAGTTCAATTTGTTAGAAGAGAGTCATGGAGATATGTATGCTAAACGATAACCAGGCATGCAGTAAAGAAATACCAATCACTCCTGAATTTTCAGTATATCAATTTGCTTTCACTAAAAATGTTCCATTTCGACTCATAATTTCCAAAGATCAAAAAACTCCCTTAATGAATTAATTTCTTCATTTAACAATGAATTGAATCGGTTTTGCAACTACTCTAACTTTTTTTCCTTTACTTTAAAATTCTTCACAATGCGGAAATTTTGAATTTTTTGATTTTTCTGCTAATTCTCTGGATTTTAATAAATAGAGACTGTTGTTAGCGCTGTCCTAAAACGCTCGTCCCAATGTCCTCGAATTCAGGCCTAGCAAGACATAAGTAAATTGCAACGGCATTAATCTAAAATTAAGTAGGAAATGTCGCGTTAACTTTAAAGCTATACATCTTGGCTGATGGGGAAAGGTATCTCCTACATTTACATCCATACAGATTGAAAAGATGCGCAATTTGATACCTGTCACCGCTACTTGACGATGAAAATGATCTCTGCTCAAGTCAGCGCTCATCGTATACAGTTGCATCAACCTACGTAGTTAGGTTACTGGGAAAAAGTTTGTTGTGCTTGCTGCAGCACTTTCCATTCTGCTTGATTAGTTTACATCGAATCAACTGATAACGAAGAAATTAGTGTAGTTGAAATTAGTGTAAAGTTGAATGAATGAAGGCTGGGATGAGAAATGATGAAGTTTGAGGTGTGAAATGAGCTCAAACTCTTCTAATAACATGTGATGTCATTTGGGATTACTGCTGATAATATTTATTTTATGTATCATCAAAGACGAAGAAGATGATGATCGGAAGGTCTCCAAAAATAATCAGGATCAATGGAAGATCAATGGGATTGGTTCATTTTGAAAGTGAAGAGCTTTCGGACGAATTACTGTTATATTCCCGTAGTTGATGCGTCATTTCGTCCTTTTTTTTCCATTTATAAAATTAAATGTTTTGTTAAGAAAAAATTCATTTCAGACTAACAGCATTTTATTTGTTGTGCACTTGATGGAAAGAAGAAAAAAACAAGAACAATAACGTGGGCGCTTGCGTTGGTGATGCGCCGCCGCCACTTGGCGTTTCCTTTATTGACGTAATTTTGCACATTTTTCACTCGTACTTTTTTTTGTCATTGTTGTGTCAATCGATTCAACAGCATTCAACATCATTTCTGCCAGTACGTTATTTATTATTTTGCCTTTTTATCGTTTTTCAAATTATTACGTAGTATCTTTCACATGACGCTCAAACAGCTTGTCTCGTGATGTCTACAAATTTGCTGAAGGATTTAATATTGATATTTTTGAAACGCGATCATACATTTGGAGACAGAAGCGCAGGATTGACAAATTGTTTGGCCTTAAATTTATAGATGTAGAATTGTTTGTTTTAATTTTACGGAAAGTCCAGTTACTTTTGTTGAAATTTACACTGTTTGTAAAGAAATTTGATTCACAAACAAAGTTTGTATTGGGGAAGAATGTAAAGTTGCAAAAAGGTTTTATGAAGACTGAGGTCTTTTTTAGCGAAAAGGGATTTTATCGCACTGCTTTTGGGGAAAATTTCCTACTGTTCCGTTAAAGAACTATGTAAAAATGACGATTTATCAGTTGCGTCGTTTACATGTCAGTCAAAGTCCGCAGTCATTGTTACCAGATGATACGGTCCTCTTGTAAGTCTTGATTTTATTACATCTGTATTCAAAATCGTTATTGGTTTTAATCTAGAATCTATCACTCTTATCGCTTCATTCTTTAACGAAACAGAATGAAACACGGAATCATAACATAAGATCTATGGCTCCAAGATGGTTTGACCTTAGCTCAGATTTCGGTTGCAGTGAAGTTGAGAATTTGATGTAAGCATGAGAGATTTCACCTTTCTTCATTCTATTGATGATATTGAGACGGAAGAGAAATATGACACTAAATCACTGTAAGTTATTAATAGTACTTATTCGTTCTGATATACATGTCTTATTTCATTAAAGATTTTCTTGTAATGTTTTTATTCATTCAAAAAATACATGTTGGTCAGCTTGTTACTACTTTATTGTTCCAATTTTTTTTTTACCAGGTGTTTATATTAAACTTTCCAGGTACCAAACAACAAAAATTGGGAGGAATCCTGACTTAGTCGACGTTGTCCTAATTTCACAAGTGCACAGGTATCCAAACACCCAGAGATTTTTTCGAAAAATATTTTCTTCGAACTTCGAAAAAAATTATTGAGCTTAGCTTAATTGAGGGGTCACTCTTAAAGACATAAGAGTCAGTTTTAGTTTCAGTTTCAATTTTATCAGTTTTGAGCAACTTCATTTACTACAGAATTATGTTTCACTTTCCGATCCCAATGGTCGACATATATCCGTGAAGTAAAAGTATTGTTGTTAGATGTTATTCATATCTCAATCTTTTAAAATGAATTAGTTAACTAGAACGCTTTGTTGCTGGTATTGCGATAGATTTTATAGTGGTGCGATGGAGCATTTGCTTTCAGTTTTTATTTGATGCATTAATATGTTTTCAGTAATATGATCTCAAGAGAACACACAACAATATTTGTAAAAGCAAAACGTGATCGATACGCATGTTTCATAAAAGATCATTCCCTCAATGGTACTTATGTTAACGACTTCAGGGTTAGCGATTTTTATAGCTATGGTGATTTCTTGGTAATACTTCGTAATTTTGATCGGTTCATGTCACTTCGTTTGCCCATTCCAAAAATTTTCAGGTAGCAGGTGAAGCTGAGCTGCAACAGGGTGATGTGATCAAATTTGGACATGTAAATGGTGCAGCTATTAAGCCTGGTTGCTATGGACCGCAAACCTCAGCCGAATTTACATTCGTTGTATGTTTATTCTTTTTTAATTTCAACGAATAAGGGATAATTGCGTTGTTTCTTGTCAAGAAATTAATGACTTGAAAATGAGATAAGGCTGTCAAATGTCATCTTCTCGAAGTATTACAGTAAATTGGAAATAATAGGGTGTGATTTTTCGGTGCTGAATTCTCATAACTTTCTCTCAGAAATTTTTTGTATGTGGAAATAAATGTCGTGCTCAGTGTTTTCTTATGAATGTCTTTTTACTAATTTCAGTTTGAAGAAGCACCAGCTCATCGTTTGAGTGATCGTAGACGTCCTATAACAATTATGGGCAATGCACGGCAGGATTTGTCCCAGGTAAGCATTACCATTTATTTATTTTCCATCTTATTTTTAAAACATATCTGGAAAAGGAGCATAGGAGGAGAGCAGAAATTTTCAGCGGATTTTCCTATACCTGTTTTAGATTTTCGTTGGAATACCTTTCGGAACCGACTTTAGTTTTTCTTGAAAAGTTAATTACAGATACGTTTCAAGTTTTACTGTTTAATTATAACTTTTAAAGTTATGATCCACTCTTCTTCTCTCCTCCTCAAGAAATTCATGCTGAAATACTTCACGTTGACTTCGAGACAAGCAGGACGGATTACCGGCGATCTGCTAAATTAATAGATTGGCTTAAAAGATGTAAATAGATGGTTCCTTGTCGAAGATCAGGTCATAGATAAATGCATAAAATTCACCGGAAGGTGTACTAAGGAGTTTTTCTAATTGTTATGTCTGTGAACAGTATTTCATATCTAAATTTTCTATATTTACCTTTTCTGGTAGCATCTTCATTATAGATGTTTGTCGGTGATGGGAAGAATTTGCATACGACATCTCGGTTACCTTTGGCTAACCCATCAATTGAACTTGCCACTTCATGGCAGAATCCGGTTGCTGCTGGCGCCGCAGCAGCCCCGTTCTATAATTTACAGAGGTTTCCCGGTTATTATCTAAGCGGCCTTCCCTCAACTCAGTTCTGCATATCTG